TGGACACATAGAGAACTGCCCCACAGGGTTTCCAAGGGTAACCTCTCTACAGACAGACTGCCACATCTTTCTCCTGTCAAGAAGCAGGTGGATTTAAGTCGCCAACCTTATGGTTAACAGGCAAGCGTTTTGCATCAGGCATATCTGCTGAAAACAGACCTCTTTAAAGTGTCAAAATTCTAATGTCACTTTGAAGACCAAGGTGTACCTGACCCAAATCATGCTATTTTTTAATTGCCACCCATGCATGCAAAAATTTGAATAATGAATAATGAAGACCAAAGAATTGATGCTTTTAAGTTACGGTGGTGGCAGAATATCAAATATACCATGGACTGCCAAAACAAAACAACAAAACACACACACACAAATCTGTCTTGGAAGTATATCCAGAATGCTTCTTAGAAAGGAGGATGGTGAGACTTGGTCTCATGTACATTTGACATAGTTATCGGGAGGGACCAGTCCCTGGAGAAGAACATCATGCTTGGTAGCGAACCCTTGAAAAAGAGGAAGATTCCCAGTGGACATAGTGGCAGCAACAATGGACTCAAAACGTTACGACTGTGAGGTGGGTACAGCACTGGACAGTGTTTCCTTGTTGGATGTAGAGAAGAAAATTCCTGGGTCGGAATCAACTCAGTGGCACCTACAAATAGCAAGACTTTTCAGACACCTGACCTGATTTGATCACCGAGAAAGTAAGCAGAGTAGATATCACACTCCCAGTCTGTTGAAATTGTGTGTTCTGATGTGTGTCTGGGGATGAATTCCTCTCGGGAGTGCTTACGTGGGGACCCACATGATCAGATGGAAATGAATCTTCCTCCACACTCGGCAGGATCCGCAGTGAGCTCTCAGATGCTCCCCTGTAAGGTTTGAAGCCATGGCGGAGTTGGGGGGTGAGTGTTACAGATGGACCTCACCTCAAAAAAGACCAAGTTTAAAGTTAACTCCCTCAATGTTGTTTGGAAACAAAGGCCATACTGACGAATGGACTGAAAGCAGAGATTGAAATCTAACTTTCACAATGATCCTAATTGCATTTCTTGATACTTTTGCAAATCACTGGTCCATGGAGATTCTCACAGGAACCAGTTACCAACAACTAGTACAACCACCTTGGTGGTTGGTGGTTATGTGCCATGGAGTCGGTTCCAACTCACAGCGACCCTGTACAGGGTTTCCAAGGCTGTAAATCTTTACGGGAGCAGAAAGCCTCATCTTTCTCCCGCAGAACAGCTGGTAGTTTCAAACTGCTGACTGTGAGATTTGCAGCCCAATTCGTAACTGCTATGCTAACAGAGCTCCTTTGCTGTTGTCAGGTGCCATTGAGTAGGAACCGAGTCATAGCGACCCCATGCACAGAACGAAACAATGTCTGATCCTGGGCCAGCCTCACTACCGCTGCCACACTTGAGTCCATCAATGATGCCACCTGGCCGATCCATCTCTTTTTCTCTGACCCTCCACCTTACCCAGCATTACCAGAGCTCCTTACAGAGCAGAAAAAACCTCAGAGATAATAAGCAATTAAGGGTTAATGCAGCATCTCTGCTACTTAATGTTCAGTGTTCTGCTTTCTATCTGGAGACCAGTAAAGAAGACATGTAAATGAGGTTTCTTCCCAGAGCAGACAGAGGAAGCGGTTAGTTAAGCACACTTTCACCCGAAGTCTAATCTCAACAGCAGATGGCGCTGAGACAACAGCAGTCAAGAGAAACGGGTGAGAAGAGACAGGCGGTGGGGGGGGCTCACACATGGAAGTACTTGGCTGATCCAACACCAACATCTCAACTGGGAGTTGAATTCTACTAGTCCAGATGCAAGTCTCATGGTTCTAAGCACCTGCCCTCAACACTGCCCCTGATTCCCACCACACATGCCCTTTCTCAATGATGTGGAGGGATTAACAGCCTCGATTTACTAGCATTCCATCCTGGGGTCCCCATGGATCTAGGACTCTTCAAATATTAAGCACTTTACAGTTTATTCGTCTCACATACTTTGGACATGTTACCAGCAGAGACCAGTCCCTGGAGAGGGACATGATGTTTGGTAAAGTGGAAGGTCAGCAAAATAAAAAGGAAGACCCCCAAGTAAATGGATTGGCAACCATTGGCTCAAAGGTAACGACTGTGAGGGTGGCTGGCACAGGACCAGACAGTGTTCGTTCTGTCATACACACGGTGCTGTAAGTAGGAGCTAACCCGACAGCACTTAACAGAAACACAAAGCAGGTCTTCATAATATCCTTGAGGAAGCGCCACTGGCAATGCTCTCTGGTTACTCCACATGCGCCCAGTGTGACTCACTGACCAAGTGGACACGGAAACAAGCACTGGCCAAACAGATGGACTTTCGGAGCCATGTAGCTAGGATGCTTAGACACATCTGGGGATGGGAACTGCTGGTCCCCAGGGCTGCCCATGACACGTAGTTACCGTGGGTCTACCATGGAGTTCGCTAGTGACTGCTGCCTGTTTACCACTCAGGGTAGTGAACTGGAGCGGGAGAGATGCACATGGAAGAGTTGGTTCTGCTCCAACCCAAGGCCACAGGTCATCTAACCCCTTTCTGGAGGGGACTGAAGAGCTGGGATGTTCTTTGATGGTTAAAGCAAGGGTGTGAACTAGGAACCTCCCTGGAGTGGGCCAGAGGCGTGCAGAGGTAGCTAGGTTCTGCTGCCCTGAGTTGGGTTTGGCCCCAGGCTCTGGCATGCTTAACGCTTCGTGGCCTCTTGCTGGGCTAAGATGAGCTCCATCTTCTCCAGGGGCCTCGGTGGTTTCCAAAGCACTGACCTGGGGAAAGACAGCCAGCAAGTTCCCAAGCCCATCACTGAGAAATGTTCATTGTCCTGGTCACTGAACCAAGGAGGAGCTGAGGTGGAAGCCAGGGTCTCCAGGGGAAGCTGGCCCATGTGGGAGAGAGAAGAAGAGCAGCAGCATCTGTACCGTGGAGCTCCCAAGATGAAGAGGGGACAAAGATGGGGGCAGGTGAGCTGTCCACTGCTATACAAACGTGACTGGTACATTAGCTAGACTATCAGAGCTCCTCAGGGCAGCCTGCTGCACCCACATTATCCCAGCTGGTGAAGGGAGTGAGCCAACCCACTCGTTTCCCATTGTTCACGTACATTACATCCTTCTACTGACTTGCTACTGTGATCCAGGGACCCTGAGGGAACTGACACTGACATTGACTTTAGTGAAGCGTCCAGGGATCTCCTGTGTGCAGCCTCTATCTAGTTCTCCTTCAGCACCCCAACCCAGGGATCTCCCCTGTGCAGCCTCTATCTAGTTCCCCTTCAGCATCCCTACCCAGGCATCTCCCCTGTGCAGCCTCTATCTAGTTCCCCTTCAGGATCCCTACCCTGGGATCTCCCCTGTGCAGCCTCTATCTAGTTCCCCTTCAGCATCCCTACCCAGGCATCTCCCATGTGCAGCCTCTATCTAGTTCCCCTTCAGCATCCCTACCCAGGGATCTCCTGTGTGCAGCCTCTATCTAGTTCCCCTTCAGGATCCCTACCCTGGGATCTCCCCTGTGCAGCCTCTATCTAGTTCCCCTT